TATTATAACCCATAATCTGCAGAGCTAGCTATCTCTTCCTTAAAGATTGGATTTTAATTAGCAGTTTAATTGCTTGGCTGCAGATGACAGTTTTAAAACAGAAGCAGGAAGAAAATAAGAGGATGTGCCCCAATGCAAAGAGGTTAGATCATAGCAGCTTATCATCGATAGCTCTGTGAGACTTTGAGCCATCCTTTTCTTACTTTTTACATTTTATGATTTGAAAATGAACTAATAACGATTTTATTTTGTGATCCGGCTTCAGGGAGAGAAGTTTGTCCCTGAGAAGTCCTGAATCCAACATGAAGCTGCTGTTGTCGCGTTAATGATGTTTATGGCTTTGATTTTCCTGCCAAACATCAACACTTTGCTCTTTGTGGTGCAACAGACTTGAAAGTGGTTCCTGCAGTTTTTCCACTATAAGCCTTAATGAGACTCTTAAATCCTTACATCCACTCATCCCTATTCATACATAACCTGAGTCAGTTCATGTGCCCGCTGAAATTCTGTTGTGCTGAAATAAATGCGTTATTCTCCTCCACGGGATTTCAGAATGAAGTGGTTTTATTTTCAGCACAAATAAGTTATTTAAAGCTGTCTACACGTCTTACTGGACAGCTGATCATTTTAAGAGTCGTGGTATGGACAATGGATAATTTTGACCTTCCTCACTTCTCTCTCGTTAATTACTTGCTTCTCGTTTCTGTAGTTTGATGCCACGCTGGATGTCATGTCATCAGCCATCGTCCTGTGGCGCTACAGCAATGCAGCAGCTGTGCACTCTGCACACAGAGAGTATATGTGAGTACAAAACTTTATCTTTTGATCAACGATACAAGGGTGGAATCATAAACAACTCTCAAACCACAGGTGTTGTATGTTTTATTTATTTGTTCATTCATCTTTACTCTTTGGCTTCTTTTACCCATGAATCCCACCTCTGCTGTGAAAGGACTTCACCCATTCCCCTGCAATCCAGTCATTTCATGCATATGATTTTATCTTTCTGTAGTAAATTACATTTAAAAAAATGATCGGATCCTATGTAATATATAAATAAAAATAGAGTGCAGTGATCTCATATTCTATTTACAATAAAACATAAAAAACATATCAAATGTTTAAAGTGAGAAATTTTACTATTTCATAAAAAATATGTTTATTAGCTCATTTTGAATTTGATGCCAGCAACCCAAACAAAGCTGGGACTGGGGAAGAAAAGGCAGGAAAAGTAAGTTGTGCTATAAAGAAACAGATGGACGAACTAATGAGGTTAATTGGCAGCCGGTCAGTAACATGATATAAAAAGAACGTCTTAGAGAGGCAGAGGTTATGAGAGGTAAAGATGGGCAGAGGTTCATTAAACTGCAAATAAACTACATGTACAAATAGTGGAACAATAATGTTCCTCAACAGAAAATTATGAAGGCTATAAATATCATCTGCAGTACATAATCATCGCAAGATTCTGAATATTAGAATAAATATCTGTGTGAATGGGACAAGGCTGAAAATCAATATTTTCTCTGATCTTTGGGCCCTCGGGCAGCACTGCAATAACATCAGGCGTTGTTCTTCAATAGAAATCACCGCATGGACTCAGGAGCACACTGTGCCATCCACAAATGCAGGTTAAAGCTCCAACATGGAGAGAAGGAGCCACA